CCACCATCACCAATCACCACCATCACCATCACCAATCACCACTATCACCATCACCAATCACCACCATCACCATCACCAATCACCACCATCACCATCACCAATCACCACCATCACCATCACCAATCACCACCATCACCATCACCAATCACCCCACCATCACCAATCACCACCATCTTGAGACCCTGTCTCTAAATAAATACAAACAGGGCTGGGATGTGGCTCAGGCGTTGAGTGCCTGTGACATCAATCCCCAGTACCCTCCCCCTGCCCCCCACAAAAAATAAAAATAAAAAGGATGGTAAAATGCCCTGGGTCCAATCTGATACAAAAAACCAAACAAACAAAAAAGACTCAAATCCAGCCCCAGCTCTGAGCCCTGGGCCCCGCCAGGTGGGGAGTCCTTCTGCGGCCACTGGCCACCTGGCATGCAGCAGGGGCTGGGTGACAGCAGCACCTTGGCACCTGCTCCTTGCCCTCTGCTCCTGAGACCAAGCGAGCACTCCGGTGCCAAGGCCGATCAAGGCAGAGAAGACCCTCAGTGCTAGCCCCGGGCTCTGGGCCACTGGGAGGCACCACTGCACACCCTTGCGGACCAAGGGACGAGAAGCCAGAAGCAGGTGGACATGTGCAGACGCTGGAGCCCCCGCCCTCTGGGAGCAGGTGCCCCACTCTGAAGCCGCCCGGGTCCTTGGGAGTTAGCGCGAATCCCAGGTGACCAGCAACTCCACCCAGACGTGCCTCCCGGGAGCTCAGGGACTCTGGCCCTCACTGCACGCCCACTGTCCGCAGCCAAAGGTGGGAGAGCTCTGCCCGTGGATGGACAGATACACAGAGCGAGGCCTTGGGACCACAGACTGGGCATCCTGATGCACGCGACCACAAGGGGACCCTGAGCAGGGGCCAGTGACGTGCCCAGCACAGGACGCCACCAGAAGTCCACGCAGGACGCGGTGGGTGGCTGGGGGCCGATGGGAGGGGATGCCAGCCCAGCTTGGTGGGGTCAGGTCTGGCAGGGGAAGGGGGGTTCAGGACCGGGTCATGGTGGCGGTGGTTCACAATGTGACAATCCAACTCAACGTGGCTAAATGGCAGGCTCTGTGTCACGTGCACTTCACCACAACCTCACTGGCCAGTTCAAAGCCAGCCTCAACAAACTCCAAGCAAGACCGGTCTCAAAATAAAACTCAGGAGTGGCTGGGGATGCGGCTCAGTGGTCGAGTGCCTCTGGGTTCAATCTGGGTACAAAACTGAACAAAACAGGTCTTGAAGTTGAAATCAAGATTTCAAGAAATGAACCATCAGTCCTGCTGCCTAACCCCTCCCCAGAAGCACCAGCGCCAGGGCCTGAGACAGGGCTCAGCGGCCGAGTCGTGCCTCGCAGTCACGAGGCCTGGTCGCCCAGCACCACAGAGAGAAAAGGAGGCAGCTGGCATGGAGCTGCCGCTCAGCATGTGCCCAGAGACAGTGCCACCGTGACCACCCGACCGGCTCCGGCTTCACTGCCATGTCACCAGACTCAGCCATTCTGAGCTGGCCGGTGACTCAACCCAGCGGCTCCCCTCACGGAATCCAGCCTTCACCACGGCTTCCTCCTGCCCAGAGACCCCAGCCCATGTCCAGACTCCATGCCTGAGTGGACCCACGGTGCACGCCCCCCACGCGCCCACGTGGTCCCGCCAGGCAGCCCTGCGCCCGGGGGACGCGCCCCCCCACGCCCACGGGGTCTGCACTGCGCAGCCCCGTCCCCGACCCTGCCCTCGGCCCAGCGGGCCCCCCACCTCGTCGTCGTGGACCAGCTCCTTCTTGACCACCTTCATGGCGTAGACCTGGTCGTTCTTCTTGAGCCGCACCAGGAGGACCTTGGCGTAGCTGCCGCGCCCGATGACCCTGATGAGGTCGAAGTCCTGCAGCCCGAGCCCCTGAGAGATCTTGATCCCGTCGACCCCATCGATGACAGGTTTCAGGTCCTAGGGACGGAGCCCAGGGGAGGGAGGGCTGTGTCTGCCAGGGTCGCGGGGAGCGCTGCTCCTCCAGGTGCCCATGGGCCCTGGGATGGCACTGCAGCCCACCAGGCAGGGCCTCCCGCAGGGGACACGGGCTTGACGGCCCAGTGCCTGCCAAGGTCTGCCCCGCCCCCAGCAGGCGGCCCTAGAGCGGCCCGCCCGCCAGGCATCTGTGGGCGGAAGGGGTGGTCTGGGGTGGTCCCAGCGGGCTCCGGGTTCTTTCCAGACAGACTGGCCATGAGAAGACCTGAGTGGTCCACGGCGTCTTTTTTTTGAGCTACATTCCCAGCCCTTTTTGAGACCAGATATCGCTCAGTAGCAGAGATGGGGCCAGCGGTCCTCCTGCCTCAGCCTCCTGAGCCGCTGGGATGACAGGGGTGGACACGTGTGGCTGGTGACTTTAGGAAGGGCACCCTGGAGGGTGCCGAGCCCAGCTCTCCCTGCATGATTCACCAGGCTGCCTGAGAGGCCCGTCCACCGCCTGGTCCACGCCCAGGAGTGGGCAGCGCAGTGCTGGCCAGCCAGAGGGTGGGAGAGGCAACAAGGAGGTCTTCATGCAGATAAGATGGGATGACAATGGCAGCTCAGAGGCCAGCCCTGGCCTGGCTCTGAGGCCAGGATGTGGGTCCCCACAGCCGGCAGGGCGCCCGCCCCGGGGAGGGGGATTCCTGGAGCAAGCGTCAGCAGCCAGACCCCAGGACGAGGTCCTTCTCCTGGACGCCACAGACCCTGTCTCACCTGAGGCCAGCAACAATCCCCAACACACCTAGTTCATGCCCAAGTGCCCTCCACTGCCCAGAGACCGGCTCCCTGGCTCTGGACGAGGCACGCACTCACCTCGGAATCGTCTTTGATGCCCTCGTGCTTCCGGGAGGAAGAAATGTACGCAACTAAAGAAGCAAGGGAGAGAAAAAGGCCATCACACTGTGTCAGGGTCCTCCAGGGGGACGTGGTGGCCTGGCCAGGGTGGCTGTGCTCAGGGGCATCCCAGGGGCGGCCACAGCAGACCCCAGCTTTGGACTCCGGCTTAAAGTCTTAGGGAAACGCAGCCTCTGGGCTCCACTCAGACCACGGAATCTCCACCCAGGGCCTGGGAGCCCGAGGCCCACAGGGTTCCCTGGGACTCTGGGAGCTGGGGCGTCACCTCCTGATACACTCTGTGCAGGCTGACAACAGTCCAAGGCAAAAGAGGAGCTTGGTGCATCTACCCTTCCAAACATCACAGGGAAGTGCTCGCATCATCCCACCCAACACGCCGCCTGCACGGTCCTCAGACTGACATCGTGAGCGGAACCACTGCCAGGTCTGAGACACCTTCCAGCCTTTGTCCTGAGGACAGGCCCGTGCAGCAGGGGCAGGAGCTCAGCGCTGGCTGGCCGGGTGGATGGTGGGCAGTGGATGGTGGGCAGTGGATGGATGGCTAGATGCTTGCTGGATGGATGAGTGCTGGCGGGATGCACAGGGAGCTGTCTATTATGAGTCTTTTTCATGTGGGGTGCTGAACTAAGTGCTCCGTGTTCTGTGGCCTTGTTTCATCCTTCAAGTTCCCAAGGGGACTCTTATCCAAGGGGAGCCAGAGCACCCATGCACCCGGATGTGCAAGCTCACAGCTCGGCCGCGACCCAACTGGAATCTGAAATCTCTTATCATTAAAAAAAAAAAAAAAAGGTTTGTGGACCCACCACTGGTGGCCCTGACCTCACTGTCTCAGGAGCTGAGCACCTGGTGGGGTTAGACTCACCTGAGCAGGTGAGTCTGGTTAGGATGTGGAAACAAGGGGCACCCTTTCCCAGAAACCCCCACAGAGATCCAAGGGCCGGGCAGCAGCCACGGTCAGCAGCCGCTCAGGACCCCCGTGAGACAGGCCCCCAGCACCACGTGCTCTCTGAGCTCTCAGGTCCGTGTGGGGAGGGTCCCCGCTCCCCGGTTCCCAGGGCTCAGAAGAGCCAGGCCTGGCCAGGTCCTCAGGTGGCCCCCAGTGCCCCCCCAGCCCTGAGGGAGGGCACCCAGCTTGCCCACGCTGACCCCTGGGCCCCAGGGGGCCAGGAAAGGGAGGCAGCGGGAGCCCACGGGGCAGCGGGAGCCCACGGGCAGCGGGAGCCCACGGGGCAGCAGGAGGCAGACCGGGCAGCGGGAGCCCACGGGCAGAGGGAGCCCATGGGCAGCGGGAGCAGAGAGTGCCTACTTCCATCGGTCTCCTCCGAGGGAAGGTCCACGCCGTCGCTCTTCTCAGCTACTGGAGGCTCCTGGGAAGGCATGACAGAATCCTGCCAGAGAGACGGGCGCGTCACCGTGGCCGTGCACGGCCGCCGCTGTGCCCTGTGTGCCAGGGGTGTGCCGCCCACAGCACGCGGCCAGGCTGCTGCACTGCGCTCAGGAAGGAGACGAGCTGCCCAGGACAGCAGGCAGAGGACACTGCAGGGCCCTGGGCTGCGGCCTCCCGGCCGGGCCTTCTATCATCTAACTTTAATTTTACTATTTCGAGGTACTGGGGACTGAGCCCCAGGGTGCTCTCCACTGAGCCAGTTTCTCAGGTTGGCCTTGACCTGGCCGTCCTCCTGCCCCAGCCTCCCGAGTTGCCAGGACCACAGGTGTGGCACTGTGCCCTGAAGAGGGGTCTTAAAACACGGAGGGCTTCACACGGGTGGTGCCCCGCCCCGCGTCACGTGCCTCACGGCAGCCAGACCCCAAGCATCACCCGAGGGCGCCTGGGGTCCCACACGGCTGGCACCACAATGAAGCCCTGAGCCACTGGGCTCCCAGCCTGGCCCTGGGCAGCTCTGGCTGACCACACCTGGGCTGGGCTGGCTTCCATAAGCTACCGTGGACCCCGGGGGAACTGTCACCAGGCACTGTCATGGTTTTTGGCAGACAGGCCTGAAAGGACCCAGGAGTGTTTGTCCCACCCCTGCCTGTGGCACCCTGTGTCTGGGACGGGTGGGCACGCCGCCCCACAGCCTTGTCCCCACACACACCTCCAGATGGGGCGTGGCCACCACCACCGGCCCTCAGCAGGGCTGGGGTCTCGCGCCCAGCCCTGGTGCCCACTCCCAAGGTGCAGCAGAGCCGGGGTGTCTGGAAGAACGAGGGGTGGAAGATGGGTCCACAGCGTGCCCAAGGGCCCGTCTCCTCAAGTCCAGGCGCTCGGGACGAGCTGCAGAGGGAGCTGCCCCCACCTGGTCCCTAGGCCCTCACGGCTGCCCAGGGCCGGGCCCCGGTGCTGGGTGCAGCCTGGGAGCCCTGAGCCACAGCTGGCCACAGGAGGCCCTCCCCACCCACCTGCAGAGGGCACTCACTGGAGTCCCCCGGAGCCCTGGGCCCTGTCCCAGACACTTGGCGGCCGTCACAGGGACACACAGGAATCCTTCCCATGGGGCTACGGTGGGGACAGGGCCACCACCCCTCAAGACAGACGGGTCACAAGGCCAGCCTGGACCGCCGGCCGGAGTCCGGGTCTCGCCCCCACCCTGACCCTCCCAGGCCTGGGCCCTGACTCACCATAAGCCTTCTGCAGGTCAGCGGGACGAGGCCGTGGCAGCGCTTATGGACCAGCAGCTTGCAGTGGACGCACCTGTAGCCCTGCCTGGCGAGGCCCCATATCCTTTCACTGCACTGGCCACAGTACGCCTTCTGCAGTGGGAGGGCAGGTGTCAGGCCAGGGCCGGCTCCCCCCGAGCCCTGCTGTGCCACGGGGCCCAGCCAGGGACCCAGCGGGCGCTCCCTTTCACACTCGCTCAGGAAACGCCGCTGGGGCACCTGGAGCCCCCCACTTCCCTTCCAGGAGCCCCCCACTTCCCTTCCAGGAGCCGGGCCGGAGCGGCCTGGGCCCCACGGCGTGGCGCCTGCCCCACCTCAGGCTGCAGTGCTGCCGCTGGGTCTGGTCAGGCAGTCCAGGCTGCAAAGTGCAGGGGACAGTCCCCTGACCCTCCTTCAGACTGTCACCTGGGGGCGAGGACCTGGGGGTGAGCCTGCAGGCCACCTGACGCCACTGCCCACTGACTGGGAGGGCAGTCTGCCAAACCCTGGGGTTCTGGGCACGGAACCCAGGGTCGTCCAGCAGGGAGCTGCAGCCCAGCCCTTCGGATTTCTCATTTTGAGGCAGGTCTTGCTAAGTCACCTGGGATGACTCATCCTGAGCCATTGGGACGACAGGTGTGGCCAGGGCACCTGACGTTATTTTCCAGTTTTGAACAGATCTTTTCTTCTTGGTGACTCTCATCAACCTGAAGTCAATGACCATCGCTTGTCTTCTGACATTCCCATGGGTTTCTGAATTTCGCAATATGCACGTGGAGGAACGTCTTTGGAACCGGCTTAGTCCCGTGCGTCTGTGGTGTCCACAGGCCCTGGATGTCCCGTCCCCTCTGGACTTTCCTAGGCAAAGTTCTTGTGCTTTTGCTCTTGGTCATCAGCTCAACCATGTCCTTCTTCAGTGATCCTCAGACCACTCCTGCCCTAGGCATCTGAGGTGACAGAATCTGCCCCAGAAAACTGAGCCCTGGCACCAGGGCCACGGAGCACTAAGGGGACCACCTGGGAGCCGGTTCTCATCAGAGAAGAGCCATACCCAGGAAGCCAGGGCCAGCACCAGGGACAGTGCCCACCACACATGGGCTCCCACCCTGTTCTTGTCATGGACAGGAAAACGTGTGTGTGTCCACACACACGCACACACACACACCACTGCCTTTAACTTCAGTACCAGAAAAAAATCATTCCAAGTCCTCACGTGTTTTCGGAATCCGTTCCCCACCAGGGAAGGAGCTACCTTGGAATGCTCTGATGCGCATGCAGGAGGCAGGGCGGAATGGGCACGGGCTGGGGGCCCCAGAGCCTCACAGCTCCCGAATGCAGGCCAGTCTCCATTTCCTGCTGCATCTACAGTCCCCAGAGACACCAGTCACCACCGGTGGAACTCTTTAGTAAAAGGCCAAGTTCCTGATCTAATGTGCTAGGTGCACTTAGTTTTTCTTTTCTTTTAATATTTTTAGCTGTCAATGGACCTTTGTTTATTTATACGCGGTGCCAAGAATCAACCCCAGTGCCTCACCCACACCAGGCAAGCTCTCTACCGCTGAGCCACAACGCAGCCCATGCACTTAGCTCTTCTAAGTCTCCGTTTAACATCGTGATCTGCAATGCTTGGGTCCCGTGTAGCGGCGAATTCGCAGCTCCCAGGTGCCTTCACGAAGACTCGTGTTCTTGGGAGCCAGGACAACTGCGGACCTCTCCCACATGTGATTTGTACGGGAGGCTGCCGACGCTGTGCCAATTTTTCAGCCCTTATTTAAAATCTACACTTGAATTATGGACATTTCAGACAATGTGCCATTGAAAAATAAGATAAAACCAAAAGAGTCAAGTTTCTATTGTTACAAGTTCACACAAATTAAATGATCAATAAAGTCTTGTTTCTTGCTCATATTTTCAATCACATATTCTAATTTTTAAAGACAGTGAACACATTCTAACATTTCCAGTCTAAGCCTTCCGTCTGGGCTTCCGCCAGCTCTTACTCTGGATGTCCAGGTCCCTGTGTGGTTTTGGATTGGGAGCTCAGACGCTGGGTGCATCCATCTGTGGGAATCCTTTGAGGCTGGCTGGAAGAGAACTGTGTTTGCGGCTGCCAGCCACCTGGGGGCACTGCTGGGCTGGGCCCACTTAAGGGTATGAATCTGGGCTGCAGGTGTGAGGCCCAGCTCGATGCTTTAAGTCCTTGGGAACAGTAGCCCTTCCCCCTCTTCACGTGGATGCTAAGGCAGCCACAGGTCCCCTCTTGTCCTCTGGGCCTTTGCTTGGGGCTGTTTCATGTTGATGGCAGGGTGGTGGCAAACCTCAGCTGCAAGCTAAACCCAGCCCTTCTCTTGTTTGCCCATGGACAGTCGCAGGGTGCACATCCCAAAGGCCAAGGCGTGAACTTGGCTCCTGTACAGGAGGTGCTTGCTGACTGATCACAGTGGCTTGGACCAAAGAGCTCAGGAGAAGCTTTTTTTGAAAAACTAGTTTTAGTTGTAGATGGTCACAATACCTTTATGTTATTCATTTATTTTTATGTGGTGCTCATCTGGAACCCAGCGCTCGCGCGTGCTAGGCGAGTGCTCTACCACTGAGCCACAGCCCAGCCCAGACAAATTCCTGATGGCCCACCTCAGAGGCATCTTCTGGGCCCGTTTCCTTCGCCACCCAGTGAGCACATGGCCTTCAGTCCACTCAGAACAAAGGCCTGCGTCCTCGGACAGTCTACCTGGCAGGCCCTGCCGCGTGGGGGGCTGTGTGCACCAGCACAGGGCTGTCCGGCCACTCAGCAACTGCTGTGGCTCAAGCCCCAAGCTCGGGTCGTCCATCCACAGTGACTCCGGTGCCTCCTGTGAAACTGGGCACATCTTCCGTACTTGCAAACCTGTGGGTGGCACGTCCCTCCCTTTGGACAGATACAGGAGCCACGGCCGCACATTTCCTATGCACCCTGAAACAGGGCCCTAGTCTGTGCCCCCCGCTGCACACAAATTCTCCCCAGGCATGAATGCCTTCAAGCTGTGGATGTTCGCAGCCACACTGCACCTCCACTGCCGCCCATGACCATCACAGCCCACTCTGTCCTGGCCGTCACCGGGAAGCTGAGCGGCAGGGGCCTGGCATGGCTGACCACCTCACTATCTTGATCTCTTGTTCTTCTGGGCTTTACTGGCTATCAACATTTTTCTCTATGGCTGTGTTTTAATTTGTTTGGAAATTACAGAAACCTGCAGTATCCCTGGCTGGTCCCCTCTTTATGACCTGCATCACTTCTTGTGGGGTTTTTTGGGCAGGGGGTGGGGTGGGGTAGTGTTGGTACCAGGGGTCGAACCCAGGGCCGAGAGTGGAACAGGCAAGTGCTGCCCCCAGCCTCCATCTCCAGCCCTCCAGTTCTGAGGTCGGGTCTCACTGAGTTGCCCAGGCTGGCCTTGAACGCGATCCTCCTGCCTCAGCCTCACGAGGGGCTCAGCCACCGTCCTGCTCCCTTGTGGCTTCTTTTGATTCCTTTCTAACCTCCAGCCACCTGCAAGTCACTTTGCAAGCAAAGGGCATGGGCCACCCCACCCTCTGCCTGACCCACACGGCTGCTGGGTGATCCCTGCTCTCCACAGGAAAGGCTCAGCCCGAGGGTCCCAGCTCTGCCCGGAGCCGCGCACCCCACCCATGTCACACGCTCAGGACCACTCTGTCACTGCAAACTCTCTCCTTGTGACTTTTTTTCCAGAAGCCACAGGGGAGGCCAAGCTGACTCACGAGGGGCCGCGGAGCAGTGAGGGCCCCTGGTGCTGCCCAGGGCCCCCGGCAGGTCTTGGGGGTGAGTGTGAGCTTCATCTTGGCAAAACCAGCCAGTCAGACACGGCCCGGGGAAAGGGTTCCAGAATCCTCGATACGGGATGGTGGGCTGGGCCCCTGCCGGAGACGCCTCCTCTCACCAGAACCAGGCAGGTTCCCAAGTTGAGGAGAGAGACGCTGCGGCCCCCGAGGGGCTGGTCCGCTGCCCACTTTGTAAATGGATGTGGGGCGGCAGGTGCAGGTCCTGGCCAGGCACCTCCACTTCCGCACGCAGCGGCAGCCGGCTTTCCGTCTGTCCTGGCTCATGAACAGCCTCGTGTGCACGCCCTGCTGCTAGGCCCAGACGGCCCGGCCCGTCACTCCTGCCCTGCGGCCCCCACCCACTGGCGGCAGCACCTGGTGCTTGATGACCTCCCTGGCCTCTTGCTGGGTGACACCAGTGACAGCAGCCTCTCCACCATCTGTGTTCCACAGCCCCCCAAGTCTGCCTGGACTCCCCAAAGCCACCTCCTTCCTGGCAGACGCGCCCCGTTTCTTCTTGTCCCCAGCAGCCCCGGGACTCCCAGTGACTTTGCTCACTATTACAACACAGGACAGACCAGCGCCTAGCTTGTGCCTACTGGGTGCCAGTGCGGGGACACAGCCTCCAGAGGGTGGAGTCCCTGTCCCCACCTGTTCCCAGAGCAATGTGCACCATGGAACAGCCTCATTCAGAGCCACGAGGAACCTGCAGCGCGTCAGGCAGGTCCCTGAGGGAGGCTGCCCAGGAGGGCTGCTGGGCCCTCCAGGCCCACCTCCAGGTGGCACCATCTCAGGCAGCCTCCTCCGGCAAGTCCGTGGGCACTCTGGGCAGTGCTGGCTGGCCTTTCTGGGTGCGGGCCCGCGGGTCCCCTGGCCTACAGCCCCAGGCACTCCTCTCCTCCTCGTCCTGGGACTCCACGTCAGCCTCGAGGGGCAGAGGCCCTGAGACACCGGAGGACCAAGGAGGAGGGACCAAGGCCTACAGAACCTCCTGGAGGCCAGAGGACAGGTCCAGGGCAGGGCAGCACCCACTGAGGGCTGGGCTGGCCTGGGCTACCCCAGAGAGGAAGGGAGAGGGCCAGTGCCGACGGTGGCTGCCGTGGGATGGAGCAGGACAAAGCTGCCCAGATGACGAAGCAGCCTCCCTGTGGCCACCTGACACCGTCACCACCACACTGGTCTGCAGACAGCACTCAAAGACGGTGCCCTGCCCAAGGACACCTGTCACCACGACCCCCAGCTAAGGCTCCGAGAACCCCGAGGGCAACGGGGCCAGCAACCCCAAGGCCTCTGTGTGTGCCACGGGAGGTCACCAGGCCGCAGCCACCCAGCTGGGGACCAACGGTAGAAAAGTGAGGGGCTTGGCGGGCGGTGACACACAGTGGACACTGGCCCATGGGCATCCGTGCACCCGTCCACTCTGGCGTCGAGGCACCTGGGCACGCCCCTCACCGTGAGGACGGGCCAAGTGAGGACACCTGGGGTCTCAGGAGGGACAGAGCCCAGGGGAGGTGGGTGCTGCCTGGAGACTGGCAGGTGCACTCTGGACACAAGCAGGCCAGGCCCCCAGAGCCACTGGGCACTCATCAGGGATTAGGTCACCTCTCCACCGCCTGCCGACAGGAGCCCAGCTGGCAGAAGGCTGGCCTCCCTCCTGCGGACGGGGGCCTGGGAGGAGCAGGTGCGAGGGCCACTCACCCTGTTAAAGCGCTTGGCCTGGAAGAGGTGGCCGTTGGCCTGGTACAGCTTCCTCCATCTCCTGGCTCCCCGGCGGTAGATGGACTCTGGAAGGACAGGAGAGAGGCACAAAGGTGGGTCACGGCTGCCCGCCTGCTTGCTGCCCGGGGTATGACGAGGACAGGCTGCTCCTGTCCAGGTGGCCTGGGGGACAGCAGAGTTGCGGTGACAGCCTCCCCAGGGACCTCGGCCTCTCCTCACATGGAGCTCGGTTCTCACAGCCGTGACTGCTAGAGAAGGCCGTCCAGACGAGGGGGACGCGACCAGGGCCACAGACAGCACGGGCAGAGAGGGACCCTGCCAGGCAGGCCAGCGGCCCCACCCGGGCCTGTCCTCCTTCCCGTCCCCCTCCAGCCAGCTCCAGGAGACTCAGGCCCTTTCCCCACAGGGACCCCGTTCAAATGGGCCGAGGCATGTAAATAGAGCCGCCCGAGCGGGCAGAGCCCTGCAGGCCACGGTCAGCCAGCAGGCAGAGAGCCGGGCATCAGCTCACCCAGACTCACAGGCCCAGCGCTCCCCGCAGGTCCCCTGGAGATTGGGGGTTGGGCCGAGAGCCAAACCCCGCAGATTGCAAGTGACCTACTGCCCGGGTCAGTGATTCAGACTGGTGGGGAGCGGGCGGTGGCCAGAGCCCAGGGCCCCTGGTGCCCCAAACACGGGAGAACACCTGCGGAAACCACCCCAGGGCGCCAGAAGAGGGAGCTCTGGGCCCCACAAAGCTGCAGGCGCCCAGAGGAAGGGCCCCAGCACAGGGAGCGGACCACGCAGGACACGCTCAGCCCCTCTCCGCTCCGGCTGGAAATGGCCACGCGGGTCCCGGGCCAAAAGCAAGAGGCCAGGCCCCTCTGGGAGCTGGGGAGGAATGGGCCTGCCCAGCCCCTCGGCAGGCCCCGCAGAGCGTCTCATGCCCCCAACTCTGGTGTCACCTGATCCCCTGAGGGTTCCGACCTCAGCCGAGACGCCTGGGACTTAAGGCCTGGGGACCACCAGGGGCTCGAGCCGGGGGAGTGGTGGCCCCTGGCCCACCTGCCCCCGGGCTCTGAGGAGCCTTGAGCGCCCCACTGGCCTCTGCCCGTGAGGACTGGACACACCCTGCCCTGCCCTGCCCACCGAAGCCCCTTGGGTCCCTGCCCCAACAAGCAGACGCTGAGGAGGAAATGACTGGGTGGCGAGGACAGACGGGACCTGGCCTCTGGCTCCTTCTACCCAGCACGCCTGTCCCTGGAGTGCTGACCCTTCAGATTCGATTGACATCTCCAGAGAGGCAGGGGCGTAAAGCACCCAGCAGAGGCCAGGACTGACAGCGGGTCCCCAGAGAACAGGGGGCAGGACAGAGGACCTGAGCCCCCGGGGTGTGGGGTACAGTGGTGACAGGTGGCGGGGGCAGTGCGCCTGCCACCCACAGCAAGGAAGCCTAGCTTCGCCGTGACCACAGCGCTGGCCTGTCCCCAAACACATGTGCTAGCTCGGGCCCAGGGTGGGGCCCTGATCTGATGGGATCAGGGTCCTCGCTCTCCCCACCACCCGAGGACGTGGACAGAGGTGCCCTTCCCTGAGCCCCAGGGTCAGCTTGGAGCCCACTGCAGCCTCCGGCCCGAGAGAGCAAGTGCCCGCGGCACACACAGCCCTCAGGTGGCGCCTCCCTGCGGCACCTGCCCTGCAGCGCGAGCTGGCCGGCTGGGGCACCACACGGGGGCAGGAGGACAGCCACGAGTGAGCTGGGAAAAGCAAAGGGAGGACAGGCACGTCCCGGGACGGCCCCCGGAGGCCAGCTCGACCCGCGGAACTGGAGGCCACACGGGGTCCCTGAGGGCTCAGCTGTGCTGCTGTGCCTGGGAGCACGCCACGTGTTAAAAGAAACAAGGGCTCCAAGTCGGGGGACTCCAGCTCCCTGCAGGCGCCAGCAGCTGCCCCCAACTCCCCACTCACAGACAGGATCAAGGTCAGCGAGGCTCCACCGAGAGCCACAGGCACAGACACTGCTGCCCAGTCCATCCTGACAGAGGAGCTGGGATTCCCGGAAGGCTGGAGAGGAGAGTCCAGGCCCACTCGCCAGGGGCTGAGGAGGCCCAGCACTGGGCCTCCTCTGGAGAAGGCAAAGGCACGAGGGTCCACGCACACACGTCCCGCCAGGCTGGGCAGCAGCATGGCCTTGGCCTCTCCTCCTGGACGCTGGGTGTGGCTTAAGAGATGCACATGGGGGCCAAGAGGAAAGGGGCAGCGAGGCTGGGCCACAGCCTCAGATGTTTCTGCAGAGGTGAGAACGGATGGGATTGACACCCACATCGTGGACTTGATGGATGGGTTGGTTGATTTTTGGTCTGGGGATTGAACCCGGGGGTGCTTCACCACTGAGCCACAGCCCAGACCTATTAGTAAGTATTTTATTTAAGCCGGCACGGTGGTGCACACCTGTGATCCCAGCTGCTCGGGAGGCCAAGGCAGGAGGACTGCAAGTTCAAGGCCGGCCTCAGAATGCGGAAGAGCCTGAGCAGCTCCGTGAGATCCTGCCTCTCAATAAAGTACAAAGAGGCCGGCTTCACCTGTGGACCTGCAGTGGAGCCAGTGGCCCTCCCTAAGATGGACGGGCCTCATCTGCTCAGGTGAAGGCCTGAGCAGAACGGAGCGGGATCTGGGCAGCCCCCTGGTGCTAACGTGACCTACAGAACTGGCTCCTTCCTGGTCCTGGTCCTGGGCCGCCAGCCCCTCTCCTCCATCACAGGTGGCCCGCTCCTTCCAACCTGCCTTCCCCTCGCAGGGGCTCTCAGGACAGTCCAGGGTGTGCCCAGCCCTCCCTCCTCTGGCTCCCCAGTGACCAACAGATTCCAGTGGGCAGAACTGAGGGGCCCCTGGGGTGTCGACCCCCACCTGGGACACCGCTGGGAAGCACAGTGACAGTAGGCGTCCCCCACTTTAAAAATATACCCTTAGCTGGGCACGGTGGCACCACGCCTGTCATCCCAGCAGCTCACGAGGCTGAGGCAGGAGGATGGCAGGTTCGGAGCCAGCCTGGGCAACCGAGCGAGGTCACTTAGTGAGACCCTGTTTCCAGTAGAGCGAGGGATGTGGCTCAGTGGTCAAGTGCCCCTGAGTTCAGTCCCCCCACCAACATGTAGAGACTTTATTCTGCAATAACTTCAGGACTGGATATTAAAAAGGTGACAGGGACAGTTCCCATGCTCACGCTGCTGGCACTACTGCTGCCCCAAGCTCATGCTGCCCGCCTGCTGCCCGCTGGCCTGTCCAGGCTGACGGCGGAGGCTCCTGTTCAACGTGCCCCTAGCTTTCCTCGACAGACGGCTCTTCTGAGGTCAGTGTCAGTGGGGACCCGAGGCCCCTTGCCGGGCCCCTGCGGCCTGCCCCGTCAGCATGGGGTGACCGCGGTCCACACCCGTCACCACCCGTCACCTGCACTCCCACCTAGATGCTGCCGGGACCCCATGTGACATCTGGTCACCTCACGTGGGCGGGCATCTCCCTGGATGACCGACAGTGCTGCGGAGGTCTCGGGGTCTCGGGCGGGGGCCCTGACCTGGTGAGCACCTTTCCTAGGCCACGTTCCCCCGAGCGCTGAGCTGCTCAATCCCAGGGAGCCTCACACCTGGCATAACTCACTGGGAGGTCCCCTAAGTGCAGGTGGCCCTGGACACGGCCGGAGTCCCCCTGGCCTACAGGCTGAGACGCCGGGAGTGAGCAGGCTGAGCACCCCATGGGGACACACTGCCTGCGCCATGCAGACCAGTCACACTGTCCAACGTGGGTGCTGCCCGGAAGGGGACAGTCCTGTTCCTGACCTGGCGGCATGTGAACAGAGATGGACAGATGTGTGTGGAGCTTTCTGGGGACAGTCCCCAACCCCAGGCTGCCACCCGGAGGAGATGAGTCCAGGTGGGCTGGAGGGCCTCTGTCGGGGCTCTGGACCCCGCTGGCAGGGCTCCTCCAACACCTCGCGCACAGTGGACAGGCTGCTGGTGGTGGGTCGCGCTCCGGCTGGGGCAGAGGGCTGGGGACGCACGTGCCCGGGGCCTCAGCCCACCACCTCCCCGGGTGGCCACATGCACAGCCGGTCAGGGAGGCGTGGGCCGCTCTTCTCTCAGCTGAAACCCTGGCACCTCCCGCAGTCGCCTCCTTTGAGGTTCTATAATTAGGCTGGCTGCAGGAGTGGGGAGGAGTTCCGTCTCCAGGGCAACCCAGCACCGAGCACTCTGCCTGCCGGGGTGCTAAGCCCGGCAACAGGCTGGGCTCCGGCAGCCCGTCCCGGTCAGGGCCAGCACGGGTGGGGTGTGCTGGGCTGGCCCCGGGGGCCTGGGCTGGGTGCACACCAGCGCCCAGGACCATGGCCCAGTGCCTTCTGAGGGGGTGCTGGGCCTGGCAGGCGTCCTGAGGCCAAAGGTCCCCACAGAGCTGGGAGCAGCTGTCACCAAGGGCAGGCCAGAGTGGGTGCACCTCCAGGCTTAGGGCCCCCAGGATGGTGACCTCCACTGGACCCCAGGTCCCCACAGGCCTCCCAGCACATGACTGGCAGGGACGCGGTGGTGGCTGCTCTCAGGTGCCCTCCCAGGGGCGAGCCCATTTGTGGCAGACCCGCCCCAGGACCCCTGCTCTCGCTGAGTGTGGACCCTCAAGGCCCCAGCGGCGTCCAGCTGCCACGCAGCCGACGGGCACAGGAGTGTGGGTGTTCAGGTGGACTGGGCCTGGCACGGACCCGCTGGACCCTCGACCCAGGCACAGGCCTTCCTGGAGGTCCACAGGCCGTGTAGACACAGAGCCCCAGGACGCCCGTGTGCGCCAGGGCTCAGCCACATCCACTGTGGCTGCGTCCACCACAGTCCTCAGGGCTGGGCCCCACCCGAGCACGGCGGGCAGCAGGCGCAGCCGGGAGAGGGTGCCGCCCCTGGGGCCTTTCCACGCTGCAGGCTGCGGCTCCCACGCGGCGTTTCTAGCCCCTCATCTGCCCCTGGCTGACCCGGGACTCGGCAGGAGTGGGTTGGGGCCTCGCTGTGCCGCTGGGTGGGACAGCAGCCAAGGGTCCCGCAGTCCTCTGTGC